GCGGCGGTACCGGGAGCGCCCCGAGGGCGGGCACAGGCGCCGTCAGCAGAGGCCGCACGGTGAGCGAGGGGCGGGCGGACGGCGGGGGCGAGGCGCGGCCTGCGCGGCGGCGGGCGGGGATTCCCGAGTCGGCCGCCGGCTCTCAGCAGGTCGATGTCAACCCGCGGCCGCCGGGCCTTGTCGCAGGCCGGCCGGCAGCGGGGCGCGTCCTCACTCCTTCCCTCTCTTCCGTCTGCCTTGTGCTTTCTCCTTCCCCCCGTGCCTCGGGAGGTGCCGCACACGGGAGCTGGTGCACTCGTCCGCTGCCCCTGTGCAGGCGCAGAGGGCCGTGCTGGCTGCCCGCAGCCGGGCGTGGTACGCGGAGGCAGATGCCGGCTGCGTGCTGGGACCGCTGTTGGCTGCCCGCAGTCACAAACCGAGTGTGGGGACAAGCTGATGGAATTAGAGCCTCTCAGCCTGGACAGAGCCTGAACGTGCTCGTAGTCTTGTAGCTTTTGATTCTAAGCGTGTATAACATGCTGTAGGGAAAAGGGTGCACTCAAACATGCAGGCACCGTGGTGTAGTTTGTCGGCCTGTACGGTTGTGTCTGCGTTCTCTCCTTTATGCCTGTGCTGTATTTTTGGACTAACAGGCAGCTCATTGGTAATACCTGCAGATAGATGTCACATCACATGGAGAGACATCGGCCCGTGTTTTGCTCTTGCGCGATTGAAGAAAGGCTGACATAGCTCCTTTGCAAATGTCACTTGCTTTTCAACTCAGTCTGAAGTTTGCAGAACCTGGCACGAGTACACAGAAAGTAATTATGGATTCTGTTTTAACATTAAACTGAATCGTCAGTGCCAGTTAAGAAAAAATGGAAATCATGCCGTATTCCTTTCTTGGTGGATAGCATAAGTGCATGATAACTTCTGGTACTATGTCTGATGTGAGGATTAGCTTTATTTTCATGCTTTTATAGGTTTCCCTCAGCGGGTTTACCCATTTGGTTCCCTTGTCTGATACTGCTGTTACGGCAATACAGCTTTTCCGTAATTTAGAAGTCTGGAATCTGACAAATCAAGTGGTTTGGCTCTTTCGTACATGAGGAGGATTCAGGGTTTGTGTTTATTTCAGCTTAGTATGTTCCTGACTTCCAGCAGAGAGACACATGTTGGTAGTGCAGCATGTGAGTTGTGGATATTTAGGAAAATCTGAACCTAGGCCATTTGATTGTCTGCAGTTGCTCAGTAAATCTGTGGCAGAGCAATAGAAAAGTTAGAATAGTTCTCTTTCCTAGTTCATTTGTGTATGAATCAGAGGGTTGTGGGTGTTTCCATTAGTCTGTGTGATGAAAACAAGGATATTCTAGGTTGCTTCAATCATTCAAAGACTAAAGCTGCGTAATTCCTTCCATATTAGCCCTGTGATATAGAATATGAACATTTTACTTGAGGATGGAAAGGACTTCAAGGAGCTGTTTAATTTATATGATAAGTATATAGTTTATGATTCTTTATGTTTTAATTCCATTTTGCTTCTACTTACTTTAAACAGCAATTACAGTATTCTTCAGATGTGAAGAGCAGGACTGTTTGGTTCATGAATTTGAGAAATACAGGAACTCTGAGTGACACAAGGTAAAAATGAGAGATTCATATGAAAATATTGGTTATATATTTTAGAATAACTTACATATGTACTGAGACTACCAGATGAATGCAATGTTGATGTGATGTAAAGGACAACTATAGTTTCAGCTAAAAGCATTTTCTGTGAATTTGGGAAGTTGCTTAGCAAATAATTAATGTACCTAAATGCAACTGTCTAGCACCATTTCACATATACCAGAGGATGTGAAATTTCTGCTTGTTCTGAGAGGAGGTGACACAGCATCTATTGGAGACTTCTCCCCTCCTGATGCAGCAGTTCAAGACACAGTGAAAGATTGTGCAGGTGTCTGAAATAGCTCTTGCTTTCAAGTGCCTGAAGTGGACCTTTAACCAGTACATGAATCCTTCCTGATCCAAAGGTTTTCTGTTCTCCATGCCCCAAAGGCATTTTGTGGTATCCCTCACATAAGTGACATAGAGCTTATTTCAGTAACTGGATAAGAAACTTCTTAAAAATGCATGCTTTCTATTACCAACTGATATATATTCGGCCCATAGTAACTGTTTAATTGCCATAAGCATTAGCAAAAATTGAGATTATTTCACTGAAGTGTTTGTTGGTGGGGAGACCCCTTTACACACTCAGTTAAAAGCTGACGCTGATGGAGATGGAACAACTTACATTATTTTGTTTAATTACATTTGGTTAATTAAACTGTTCTTTGTTCCACTAAAGAGGAAAAGAGAAGCAGTCTCACAGGTGCTTTAAGCCTTACGTAATGGCCACAAGGGTGCTTTGAGACTCTCTGGAGAAGACTGTAATTCATAAGTGTTAGATCATAAGCACAGTTTAAATAACATCTAATTACCAGGCTGCATGGGTAATTCCAGTTGAGAAGGCAAATGCTATACATAAACATATGATACTGACATTTCTAAACTGTGTGTGGCTACAGCAGTTTTTGTAGAGTCAAATGACATATATTTCTAAATGGGAGATGCTTTTGTCTCTATTTGTAGAATTCAAACCTGAGCAATTCTTACACAAAGTCCTGTTATGAAAGTTCCTTACTTTCAAATCTAATGCTGTATACTAAGTGGGGGCTAGTATATCTAAGGACATAAGTGCCTTTTCCTCAGTTCAGGGATCTCTAATAGCAATTAATTTCAAAATTTATCCTCCATTTCTAAGGTGGATTGTCACCTACATCACCTTAAGAAAAATGACTACTTGTTTATACGATCATTTAATGGATATTGTTTCATCCAAAGTCATGGTCTTGGTATGTTTTTATTATAGGGGAAATGCTCTCTTCCATGCTTTTCCTCCTAATTATGGACTTCTATGTCATTTGTAGCTCTTTAGATGAGACCACCTATGAGAAACTGGCTGAAGAAACACTGGACTCCTTAGCAGATTTTTTTGAGGACCTGACAGATAAACCTTTTACCCCAGAAGATTATGATGTCTCTTTAGGGGTATGTTTTAAACATTATATTACCACTGTAATTAATGTAGCAGATTTTTTTCTGTTATTTGAAGAAGAATTTTAAATTAGTCACCTTAGTGCTGACACTGAAAATACAATTGGTTTTTACGCCTTAATTGTGTACTGACTGGGACAACAATTCTAGTGAAAAGTAGCACATACTGTTGTGTGTTTTAGGGATTTAAAATGTTTCATGTTTAGAGAAAGATGTAATATAGAATAATAAATGAGCACAAGAGGAGATGGAAACTTTTTTCCAATGTCACATTGGCCTATAAATTTTCCTAAACAGGCATAGATATCTGGCATTGCAGTCGGTTCCCTTCTGGTGAATACTAGAACAGTAGTCTACATGGCACAGTACATCACATGTAGCTGTTAGAGCAGTATCTTTGATTGTCCTGAATACGGAGAAGCAGCATTTGTCTTGACCAGGTAGTGTATGCTTGTCCTGGCTTTACTGATGACAGCCTGTGGTGGGGAGGAACAACAGGAGGGTGCAGTGCTTGCATAGGTTGTTGCAGAAGTGAAACCAGAGCGTACATGGGGAGGAGGCTACTGTCACAGGAGATGTTGCATGGGTGGAGCCTTCAGTAGTCAGTCACTCAAATTCTTTTACAGGTGTGACAGACTCAGATTAAAAATGTCTGTTTTATTTGTATAGGGAATTTATTAGTTTTTATATAAATTCAGTTCCTGAAGTTATCTATGTGTTATGGCCCTCAACATAACTTGAAGAAGAGTGCTATTTTTCCCATACTGTCTGTTACACATATCTTTCAATACTGCAGTTTTTTGAGGTCACACAGCTATTGCTCCCTCTTTGTAACTTACCACAACAAGATTGCTTTCTATTGGCACTGACAGTAAGGGTTTTGTGCCTCCAGATGCTGAATCGGATGGTTTGGGTTTCACTGCGCAAAATACAAAACAAAAACAAAACTCTGTCGTTTTGGACATCTTTATGTGTAGCTTTGTCATCATAATTTCATTCTGCATTTTTGGAAGCTAGGATATAAAATAATATATTGCCAGTAACTTTCTGTTAAGCAAATACTACTTGCTGCTTTAATTAAGTATGTAGATAATGTTACAGCTAATTGCTTTTCTGGTAAAAAGCATTGTTTAACCATTACTCTTTAGTATGTTTTAGGATTTCAGTACCTACTAGCCTGATGTAACTCTCCTAGGACAAAAATTAGCAAAGGTTGAGATTCACCTCTTTACAATTCTTAGACACTTCATTATGTTAAGCTGATGAGTCTTGTCATAATTTTTTTCTCCATCTGCTGTATGGTGGATTATGTTTGACATTGACTTGTGAAGCTCAAGAGGTAATACTTTTACATCTTAATTTTTACCCGTGGTCCTTTACTATATAGACTGCATGATGACAATTAATAATATGCTGTCATTTCTGTTGAAAGCAGAAGGTTAAATAGCCCAAGTTTTAATTCTAAACAGGGTCAGTGCTGCAGGAAGCCACAAGGTGGCAAATGTGATAAAGATCTGCTGTGCCTGTTGTACACGTGATTGCTTTGAGCAATTTATACTTAGTGTTCAGGAAAAAAAATACCACTTTAGAAGAATATTTTTGTTACCAGGAACTGGGAAACATTCATCTGGTAGTACAAAACACATGCAGCAGTATTTCCTAAAATATGGTAAAAGTATCTCTCAATTTAAATTTTTAAAAAAATTAAAGTTGTATTTTCTAGTATTTCAGAAGTACTGGAAAATGTATGAGGAGGTGTTTCCAAAACAGGAGTAAAGGTTAAACTCTATTTACTTTGCAAGGATCGAGCAACAGTACTCTCTAACAGCTGACACATGATATAAATAATAGTATAAATTCTTGTTAACTCTTTGAAAACCTATTTACTTACAGTGTTTTTTTAGAAACATGTATCATAATATCGTGCTGAACACTTAATATGGCATTACAAACCGCATAGAGGAATGCTGAAACCTCTATACCATTATGCAGGCCTAATCCTCCATCCTGTTCTTATTCTGCTGTATCTCTACAATTCTAAGACTACTGAGATACGGAAAACTTGAAATTCTGACAACCAAAGAAGTAGCTTGTTCCTGTCTTTCTGCACACTATACTAATGTCCAATAGAAATAACTGGCAGGATAAACCTCTTGGGACTTTTAACCAGGAGACCCTTTTATTTTTATTGTTTTGATTAGAGATATAAATGCCTTAACAAGCACAGAAACAGCATGGAAACTAAGGTAAAAAATCAGATTCTGAGAGTATTATATTATGTCTGGTGATAATTGATATGTGTCAGAAATGAGTAACACTGAGTTACTTTGTAGTGAAAGGAAGCTTTGAGTTGCTGCTTGTGCTACACAGTATATTGGCAGGCAGTAGATACTCATACCTGAAAGTATTTTTCCCCATAGTGAGTGTTTATACATAGCAAATAGCCTGAGCAATGATAGGTAGCTCTAGTAGTATCTTCTGACTAAAGCATGCTAGGTATGATACACTTAAAAAAAACTTTATTGTGCTATAGGGCTTGAAGTATTTGAAATGCTGTGAACTAAATAAATTATTTCAGAACTATCACATTGCATTCTGTAGAAATTCCCTTTTAAATTAGTATCATTCACATCACCTTTAGCTCAACTCCAGTGCAAACATTGTTGTTTTTTCACTCTTAAAGTCAGAACAGAAAATATTTTTATAATTTACAAGAAACATGACTCATGTTGTCAGTAAGAAACATGAGCAAGAAAGAGAAAATAAATGTTCACTAGGATAATGGTGTAAAGGTGGCATAACCAAAGCAAAACCAGACTCATGGAAAAACAGAATCTTGAGATTTAGAACCGGAACATTTTTCCAGGTATGAATCAGAATTATCAAGGAAAAAATGTTTCTATTCCCTGTTAAACTGTTACTGAAGAAAAGTAAGGTAAAAATGCATGGCTCAGAGATTTAGCAATGACACATAAAGCTTCTTGACTTTGAACCACACCAGTTCTATATTGTTCATTAATATAAAAAAGTTGTTACTGGATGATGTTTTAATCATTGCAAAATTAATTGCAATGGTCTAGTCCTTTCAAGATGCCAGGTCCAAGCTCAGGAGTATTATTTAAGTAGTACCATTGTGAATGGTACAAACACATTAAAGTCAAACTCCAACCAGAAGGTTCAAAGTCTAGATCAGACTCAAAGATATGCTAGGTATTAATTTACATTTTTAGTATGTAATGATCATTCTCCCTTGCTGTTATTGTTTGGGAGATGGTTGAGGATCTGATACGGTTTTCTGTCACCGCAGATGAAGTAATTGTTGTCAAAGTAACAGGATGCAAATTTTTTATTTCTCACTTTCTTTGTCTTTTAAGAGTGGAGTACTAACAATTAAATTGGGTGGAGACATGGGAACATACGTTATCAATAAGCAAACACCAAACCGGCAGATTTGGCTGTCCTCACCCACTAGGTAAGTTATGTGTAAGTTAGTTACATAATATCTGCAGACTGGGTGGAAGTGTACTTCCCTTTATTTATAGCATGGCATGATCATGTAATATCCTTTTCATAAGTAACTCTTCTACTCTGTGTATTCTCAAAGCATGGTATAATCTAAATGTTTAATAATAGTTTGGTGTAGGGGTTTGGGGCACACTGCAGTATTACTGGCATACCTAAATTAATACAGGAAATGTGTAACAAAGACTTTTCATATACTGTTTCAGTCCAAAACCACTGTCTACAGGAATATAGCCTACTCATAGGAAATACAACCAGCAGTGATTACAAAGAAACAAACAAAGCTTCTGTTGAAAAAAGAGTGATGATGATGTCATCATCTAAACCTCTCTTTGTGTTTTAAACAGGGTGGCTCCTTCCCTTTTAAGCTTGTGGGATTTCCTGCTTTATATGTTTATGTATGCCCACACTGGTTGTTTTTGTCAAGCATCTGTACTTAACAGGAGCCTTAGCTAGCTTCTTCCTCTGCCTTTTCTAATGCTCTGTTTTGATCCATTCCAGGTTTTCTGGTTGGTTTCAGCAGGGAAACTGGAGGGCAGACAGATAAGTGGGAAAATGCTGTAGCTGTGTTGTCCCCCCCCCTCCCCCCCTCCCAAAATCTGTATTCTTTGTCACTATCCCTGGAAAAGAACCCAGGGAGCTTGTAGGTGTTACTGGTGAAGGAACCAGCTTTTAAGATTTTTTGCATCACTGACACACAGGCTTAATCTCTTTATGAAAACAAAACTTCAGATAATTCCTGTCTGTTTAGCTCTAGTTGAGCTAAGACATATGGTGTTCTGGAATGTGGAGTTTGAGAAAAAAAGTTAATTTTTTCATTTTTATACTCCTTTAACTGGTATTTTGATAAAAACTGTTATTTCCTGGAACATGATGCTGTGTGTTCACTTATTTCCTAACTTCTAAAAGGCAACTCCAGCAATGAATATGCTGTATGATCTGAACTGTCATCTTCTTAACTACAATATGCTGGGAAGTGAAAGAAGCAAATGTTGCTGCCAGTAATCACTTGCATTGAATGTTTTGGGGCATTTTTACCGTAAATGTTGACCTTTAGTCGTTAAGAATATATCCCAAGGGAGACAAATTTGTCAATATGTGAGACATTTTTCTTGGAGTTGTATTTGGCCATCTGTTTGCTACTGAGTATCTGTATACCTAAGTGAGAGCTTTACTTAGTTGACAGTTAAAAATAAGGGCATGAGGGGATGTGCAACCTCTGCAACCTGCTGGCAGTGTGATTGTAGTAATTGAACCTCCTGAGTGAAAAGACTTTTCAACCTTACAGAATATTAGCAATACCTTAATGTGATATTTCAATCCTTTTCTCTTATGGTTGAAACATATATGCAGATTTTCCATGAGAAATACATTTAATCTGTATTTAACTTTGTAGGCATTTTATGGAATTCACTGGATTTTTGCTTAAACTATTAATTTAAAAGTCACATTTGTACACTGTTTTGGAGATTCATAGAACTATGAAGGTGCTTCATATGCTAATCTTATCACTGATATTTACTGCATGACATTTAAAACCACTTCAGATAGCATACATATTTCTTTGTCATTGATTAAGTGGTCTGTCTTAGCCTGATTCTCATGAATGATAGGATCCCATTCTATCTTCTCCAGGTGTAGGAGAGTATAAACATATGCTTGTGCTGCAAAGGTGAAGTGAGAAATATTTAGTAAAATAACTGGTGCATGTAACCTTGATTCAAACAGTTACCACTTCTGATACAGACAGTGAGATTTCAGTGAAAGTGACTTGGATTTATGCTTGCCTTTGTAACTTCTTATACACTGATTAGTGGCTGGAAAGTTCTTCATTTGACTACTGCAAGTAACTCAGGATAGTAAAGGTTCAGGTCAGTGTTTATGCTTGTAGAGAGAGAACCTGCAGATTGTTCTTATGAAAGTTTAGGATAGTCTGTTTTCTAGAAGTTTTTTGTACATTGACTGAGTTCCAAGCCATATGTCCTACAAGATCAAGGGTTTTATCTGTTTATCCCAGATGACTGTTTTGTTCCTTTCTATTTTCTTTGCTTAGCTGATGTTAACAGCAGTGACTACCCTTCAATCATTCTCCCATTTGACATGTGGAAAACTGAGTGGATAGCAAGGTCTGGAGTAGAACCCAGGTGTTCAAGTTTCTTTCTTGATACTTATCGTAGACATGGAAAAAACAAGCCAGTAACAATATAATAGCACAGAGAAAAATAGCATTTTAGTTATAAATCTCCCACATGCCAATATATTTGCTTTCAGGGGCTAAGTTATTTTGTTGCATCTAAAATGAAATTATTTGTGCTTTGCTGTGCATAGAATTTCTGCAAGAACTAATCAGTGGCATTAATTCAGCATTATAAGAATATCTGTTGTGATATTTGTGTGCAAGAAAATTATATCTGTGAGGGAAGAATGGCCTAAAGGAAGAAATTGTGGGGAAATCAGTGCTAAAAGCAGGAAGGGAAAAAGTGCTTGTCTCTTCTAGGAGTGACTGATGTATCTTGTCACCTTTCAGATATATCTGTTTGATGGCTCAGTAGTTCCTGACGTTATCAGGGCTTTTCTGCTCCACTTCCTCAGACTGCCCACCAGCCGTTCCCCATGCTATCTGTTCCTTTTCCTGGGCACTCTGTGGCATACATTATGCATACAGGCTTCCAGCAGGTCTCCTGAAATAATCTGTACTTACACAGTGTATGATGTTTTGTTGTGTTTTTTTTTCTAGTGGGCCCAAGCGCTATGACTGGACTGGACGGAATTGGGTGTATTCTCATGACAGAGTATCTCTTCATGAACTACTATCAAAAGAGCTTTCAACAGCTTTAAAAACTAAATTGGATTTGTCCTCCTTAATATATTCTGGGGAAGAAGATACTTGATTGTATTCTACCTCATGGAAGTTTTAAAGACTTCAACCTCAAGCCAAGCTCTTTCTTGGGCTGAAGTACCTGAGCTTAATTCTGCTGTTTCTCTTGGTATCAATATGTTGTGCAACAAAGATGAAAATAATATATTTTTTCTTTAGCGCTCAGTCTTTGGATTTCTGTGTGCTGTTTGAATCTGTGCCCATGTAGTACATGTGGCTGAGGTCACCCATCCTGTCTCTTCATTTCTTGCTTTCTTTCTGCAGAAGTAATGAATTTTTAGTTTCTGTAGACTTGTTTGCATGTAAGGAGTGACTACCTGGTGACTTCTGAACAACACACAATCACTGAACTTTTCTTGGTGAAACATTCACCCAAAATGAGAAATACCTGTAAGGTACATAAACATAAATTGTGGTATTGTGAATGTATTGCCTCAAAATTTGTGGCTATTGGAACACATCATAGTCACATTTAACATGTCATAATGTGTGTAATGACAGTTTTTTTCTTAGTATTGCTGACCTTGCTATTCTCCAAATTCTAAATTGTGGTTTGTTTCACCTCAGGATTTTTTTTTTTTTGAGATAAACTTTAAATTACTTAGACATTTTTGTGGCTCTGAGTATGACATGGAACTGGAAGGGCTAGTATGTGAAGTTTAAGCTGTACAGCAATATCTCTGCAAACATTTCATTCTGTTACTGTGCATTTCTCTTTCTCTACCCTTTTGTTCTTCAAAGAGACAAAATACTTTTATTTTTTTTGAGCTGAGCAAAATTAATTCATGGTAGTGAAAATCTGCACTGATTTTATTCTACTGCATTTCTTCAGTGGTTTTAGGTGGTGATCTTGTTATCACCATGATGTAGCAAGGCTCCCCGTGGCACTGTGCTGACGCAGAAATTTTTTAGAATCAAATATGGTTCTTAGGCTGATGAAGCTGTCTTTGTCATTTCCTATTGAAGGAAATTAACTATATACTCCAAACCTGAAAACAAAGTCATTTAAAGAAATCATGAATGGTAACACTTCAGCAGTTTTACTATTGTAATACTTGCAGGTTTTAACTGCCTATAAAATGGGAAGGACCAAGTTGTTGATTTCAATGCATGGGGGAAAAATTTTACCATACTCTTGCAGATTGTATGAAAAGATGTTCCATGCACATTATTTTTCTTCTTGGTTTCTCTGATGCTATGGTTAGTTTGGCATGATTCTCTAGCTAGCTTTGACAGGTAAGGATGGATTTTGTCATTGAAAAACAATAACTGTAAAGTGTTCTTGCCCAGTATTTGCATTTAGAGTATAAGGATTGTTACCTGCTATTTTCCACTACTAAAGAGAGAAACATTTCAATGGAAGTAGCTCTTGGTTAATGGTGCATGCTCTTTGCATGTTTTACAATCAATATAAATTTTCGCTCTACTGAATGAGGTAAATACAATGACTCCCAGATCTCATGAACATAAGAATAAAGCATGTTTCTTTAAAAAAGTACAGGGAAGTAAAAATAGACTATGTTTTTGCTGTTCTGAATTTAGAACACTGAAAATAACTTAGAGCATATGGAAATACGTATTTTTATGTGGTTACTTTTATAATACTTAGTTCAATGTCCTACAATTTCAGATAGTCATTTAAGCACATTTGTGTAGAAGTTAATGACTTTATATTTAAATTGAGGATACCTAGTTATTCTGACCACATGTGATTATTTTTTTCCAATTGACTTTTTCAAAAATTATTTTCTTAAATATTTGCATGCAATATGACCACTAACATGCATCTGATTGGTATTTGGAAGCTTATTCTCCATTCCCTTAAGTCTGGTAGAAATGTTTATACCAAAATAAAATTGCATGTAGAATTCTTAATTCATTATGTAAAGATGTGATTCGACAGTTTGATGGAAAGGGTGAAGGCCACAGCCATGTTCCTACTTTTGAATTCTTTCTGTTTCTTAAAACACATAGTAGAAAGATTCTGTCTAAGTGTGGCCAGTCAAGGTGGATTTTGTAAGAGCAGTTCAGCTTTCACAGTTTACATGCCATGCCCTTCATCTGTAATGCTACTGCTATTTATGCAAACAATTTCTGGGTTTAAGTATCTGAGTAACAAATGGATTTAGTCTTAACTGATGAAGATAAATAGTGTCAGCAAGTTAGAATGAGTTTTATCTCAATGTACAAAATGAATCACAGGACATGACTCATTTTTTGCTTTAATACTTGAACCAAATTGTAAAGTAGGGGCACGGACTCTAATGAGCCGTCACACTTGTACAATGGAGGCACAGAATGAGCACTGATCATAATGTCAGACTGCTTATTGCCCCAAGACAAGTAACATTTCTGTACTGTTTTTTACTTCCGTAACTTATGGAGTAAAAAGATTGTTATATAGCTCCCCACCTGACATCATGTCAATAGTTTCTTGCTTCACCTCTCCCAAAAGAAATAGCTGAAGGACAATCATAAAATATAGACTGTGCACAGCCAGTGTCAATAAGAAACACTGTGTTATGGGCATCACATTTTACAAAAATGCCTTTTATCCCCCAATGCAGTTGCTCCATTGTCAGTGAAGGGGAGCATGCAGAATATTTTGGAAGGATGAATGTTGCCATTCATTGCTTTACTGTCTGTCCAAGCTCAGCACATAAACTGGAGTGTGTTGGGCTTTTTTTTTTAGGTATACCAGAATTTTTACCAATTGCTAATCTGACTCTTGTTTTTTTTATGGCTTTGGCTTACACTCTGAACGACTTAGTATGTCCAGCCTTGCTAAAATTCATTGTTTCCTATGTGCCCAGGAGTTCCTTGGAAGTCTCATTTCATTCACGTAGTCAAGACTACTGCAATTGCACACAGTCTGCATTCATCGCAGAGTACCACCTTTGTTTGTTAGGAGTTATGTAAATTCTTGTCTGGTGTTTGTTCGTTTTCTTTTCCATTTGTGAGTAATTTGTACGAAAACATTACATCTTGTTTGCAAGATTGTTCCATTTGACAAAATCATTACATCTTATTTCCTTAAAATTCCCAGTGTTTCTTGGTAGCTTCAATAAATAAAGGCCTGTCCTGAAAAGGAGGTAGCAGAATAAGAGAAGGGGGTTTACAGGAAGGTTTGTGTTTGATTATTTTTAGCTTCATGGTTGAACTCCATGATTGTGCTAACCAGCTCTTTAATATGTGGGAGTCCTAGGAAGGAAGGCAGAGGCTTGCCAGAAAACCTGGAAGAACATTCAAAACAGTAAAGGAAGCATGGGAGGGGCAGAAGCAAAGGCTATCAAGAAGAAATTAGCTTTGCCCAACAGCTGATGTCATTGGCAGGGCAAGGAGAGACATGGGGCAAACTGCTTTGTGTTGTGGCCCTTTAGGAAATGGTGTTTTAAGTGTATTCCACACCACTATTTATAGTTGTTACAAATCAAACATGTACCAGTCTGTTTTGCTATTGAGATTTTTTTTTTTTAATTCCTGTATAAAGATAAGAAAAAAATTGTGTGGAGTTATATCCATCTCTCTCCCAAATTGTCTTTATGTAAATTGTACTGCTGGAAGTTGTAGAACAAAGACAATATTCATGCCTTTTACGGAGGGAGGTGGCTAGTGGAGAGTGCTTTGCTGGGGATAGTATAAACAGAGCCATGAACAATGAAAGTATTCTAAACAGTTCCTAATTACAAACTTTTTTTTTTTTTTAATTCAGGTTAAGGAATTAAAAAAATACCACGTTTAGATAAGAAAACAATAGATGTTTAAAATAAGGCGTATAATGTTGCTACCCTCCCCAGTTTGCTGAATCCGTTTAAAAATTGTTTTTATCGTGGTAATTAGGTGATCAGTAACACAATGAATATTTTTGCAAACATTGTTACTTTCCAGATGTAGGCTCTTCTAGCCATCAATATTCTCTACTGTTGTATTAAAAAAAAATCAGTTATATATTTAGTGTGCCCATACTCCTCGTAACAGCATTTTAGAACCATTAACCAAGCATCCTAAGGCCACTGTTACAAAAGATTTGGAGAACTAACAGATGAAGTTTTAAAACATTCATTAAGGAAACAGGCATCCACCATGGTGTAAACTAAGCGATCTGACACATACCTGGAAGTAAAACTAAATTTCCATTTCTTGTGCCTTGATTCTGCCTGAAAGCAATATTGTATTACACGCTGATCATTGAATTAGTCTGTAGCTGACTGAAAACATCAAGTTTATGAATTTGACTTTAGAATTAGTCTTCTTTGCCCCCTCCCCCACTTCTGATTTTTGCTTTTGGGGCTTTTAGACTGAAGTGTATGCACATGCACGTTAATAATTAACAACAGCTACAAGCAGGCCTTTTCCATACAATATCTGAATGCAGTTTCGTATTTGCTGTAATAAAATAGGTTCTTTCAGGCCCTCCTTCCAAAGTCCAGCCCCTTCATGAAGAATACTGTTTGCTTTCTTTATCTTACTTTCTGTATGAGATGTAGTGCATGAACTGTACCTATTGAGGAAGAAATTTATCTGAATTAGAAATGCTGTTAGAATCTAGTATTTCTCACCTGCAAATAACAACAAACCAGAAAATTTTAAGTAGATTTTGTTCTGCAGGCCTGGTATGGGTGGGAGCGTGCTGTTTAATTTTAGAGGGGCTAGCAAGAGGTTTAACTGTCCACCAGATAAGACGGCAGATAAGGAATTCCTGGTGACATTTAGTGCTTTACAATGCAAAAGAAATATGACTCCTAAGAATCCTGCTAGGGCTGTTTGGCCTTGCCTTTCTCATGTTGGCTGCAGGACAGCAGTGATGCGGAAAGCTGATACCTGTGGAATGCCATCCTGGAGTGTATTTCTCTCATGGTATGTTACAGTTTCGGGAACAGTATTGGTGGACTTGCAGAGTGACGCGGGGTGTTCCGGCCTGGAAATGGAGCTACTCTGCCTTCTACTAATCTTATGTATTTCAGCTGAGAGTGATGGTGTGAACAGAGCCCTCCCGAGCTGTCAGTAAAGCGGCCGCAGCTATTCTGTGATAAAGGGCAGGGAGAAACAGTTTGAGAGGCGTACGTGGAACACTGCGCTGTCTCAGAGGTCTTCCCGTTAGAAAGGTTCAGAAGGGCAACGATCCCAAGTTCCAAACAAAACATTGATGTAAACGGAAAACACACCCAAGCGCTGGGCTGGTGACGGTGCGCCGTGCCAGCGGCGACAGGGCTCCGCTCTGCTGCCCGGGCCCGGCGCGGGCTGCCTCGGGCAGAGCCGGGGGCCAGACGCAGGGCCAGAGCCGGGGTCCCCTGCCGGGAGACGGGACGGGCAGAGAAAAGCTGGGGGGCGGGGCGGCCTCGCCGCGGTGACTCAGCGGAGTGGAGCACCGGGCTGCGACCGGTATTTCCTGTTCCCCTGCCGCCGCCGCGGGTGTTGGTGTGTGCGGGCGTGGCCCGGGGGAGCGGGCGAAGGCACCCCTGCACTAGAGGGGCAGCAGCCGCAGGTGGGGGCACGCCTCCCGCCTCGTCCGGTCGCCGCCAGGGCCCCACCCCTGTCGTTCCCTGCCCTCCCCATCCTTCCCCTCTCCTCCCCACCTGGGGGCGAGGCCGGCACCTGCGGCGGGAGCCCGCCCCGGCGTGGCCGCACCGCCCCCG